TCAGACATGGCATTTGGATGGATACTCCTTTTTTTCCGTCGGGTAAGTTCATATATTTATTATACCTATCTATCTAATTAAGCTAATTAAAGGAAATTAATCATCCTCCCTCTACAGCTCGGAGCCCGGCACGTGGACCCCAGAAAAAAGAAGCAACTACAATCTCCTTGACGCTGTGAGCAGGTACACTGTCCAAGTGTTCCCCAAATCCTGGGCTGCCATCATGTTGACATTCGACAGCGCTGGAATGTGGAACGTAAGGTCTGAACAACCGGAGAGGCGCTACCTAGGACAACAATTTTACGTGGGCGTTGAAAATATTGCACGCTCCCTCAGAAACGAGTACAACATGCCAGACAATGCCCTTGTCTGTGGCATCGTTAAGGACATGCCCAAGCCCGCACCATTCAGCATGTAACATATTTCACCGTCATGCCATGCCGCTTCACACTGTGTGACAGATACAGAGTAGAAAGGGACAGCGACGATCCGAAAAATTGTACGTGTGTGAGTGTGAGAGAGCGAGATCATCATTAAGATTTTTTGTATTTCTTCGCAGCCAATTTAAGCGAAGAGTGTTAAAAGAATGGTAAAGAATAAGAAGTGTTTGGTACAGCATAAAAGATTGCCTCATTATGTACGCATCCACCCTCTAGAATTATGCCATACATTTTCCTGTCAGAAAAAAAGAAAAAAAAAGAAAGGAGAAACGAATATGCCATTACAGTTTTGTACTTCCATTTTATTTATACATTATAATCTCTTTCTTAATTACATTTTCCCAATTCATTTTGCCTATTTTTTATTTTCCTCAACATATACAAAACGTTACATTTGCGAAACTATCATATTGCATCCTTAAAGTTTTTTTGTATCACTCATGATCCCTAGCGTTAATATGGGTGCTCTTAAATAGTTCATCTGTCAAAAAAACTGTTAAATTCAAGGATATAATCGTCATATCAATCCAAAATTATAAAATATATATATTTTTTATTTCCTTCCCTTCTCTCTTTCTTTCTTCTTCTTCTTTCTCTCTCTCTTTTTTTCTTCTTCTTCCTTTCATTCTTCTTCTTTATCTCCACCAGTAGTTTAAAATCTGAGAGTGGTTGATGGCCTTTTTTTTTTTTTTTTTTGTGGGGTTCCAATAATAAACGGATTGTAAAACAGGTAATGGCCTTGTTTTATAAAAGGAAAAAAGAAAAGAAAAGAAAAGGTGGTTTCTAGCTTAGCTCCTGCAATGGAGGTGTGGGTGGTAGGTTGCCTCCCAGGGCAGGGTCGAATAATGGAAGTGTTTATGTCTCTAGGATCATGCCTCACAACATACAGCCGTTTATCTCCTCTAGCATTAAAAAAAAAACAAATCAAAAAGAAAATTGCATTAAAAGAAGGAAAACAAAGAAAAAAATAATGGTCAAACCGCATCTATATACATCAAATAGTCCCATGTGAGATACCCAGAGAAGAGATAAGGAATGAGAGAAAGAAGAAGAATAAAAGAAAGACTGTAAGAAGAAGATAGAAAGAGAGAATGGAAGGAAAAAAAATATATATATATATATTATAATTTTGGATTGATTTGATGATTCTTATATTCTTAGATTTAACAGTTTTTTGACAGAATGACTATTTAAGAGTATCCATATTAACGTTAGGGACCATGAGTGATACAAAAAAACTTTAAGGATGCAATATGATAGTTTCGTAAACGTCAGGGATGTTTTGTGATAAAAAGCCAAATATATATATTACAAAGTCTCATCTCTTTCCTTTACTCTTTAGCTATCAAGGGTGGGTACGGTTCGGGTTGGACCGATTTGTGCCTCAAATTAGAATCGATCTGATACTATTCATCTAGTTTGGTTCGATTCAATTTTAATAAAAAAAATTCAAAAACAGTCTAGTTTGGGTTGAACTAGTTTCGGTCCGGTTCGATTTTGAACCGGAGTATAAAAATTATTTTTTAATACAATTCTCAACTGAAATATTATTATTATTACTTGAAAATTAACAAATTATTCAATTTCATATAAAAATAAATATTAAAGTTAAAAGAGAGATATTTTGAAATTGAACTTGGATTAATATTTTCTTTTTTTTGTTAAATTAAAAATATAGCATTAAATATAAATATCTATTGAAAGTATATATTTTTTAATTTGATCGTTTCAGTTTGGTTCGGTTTGTGAAAACATAGAACCAGATCCAAAACTAGTTCGAACTGGTCTGGTTCGGTTTTTGACTGATTGTTGACTTTTTGGTCAACTTAGTTTTTTTTGGGTTTGGTTCGGTGCCGTTTGGCTCAGATTTCTGATTCGCCAGTTTGAGTGCCCACCCCTATTAGCTATATAGAGCCATATAGACACGTGGTAAATTTACTATTTACTCCCTACTATATAGAGACCTAGAGTGGTGGTAAATTTACTATTTAGACTGTCATGAATTCGACCAAAACAAACAAATGTCTGTCACTTAGCATCATATAATCGGATTCCGAGCTTCTGCATTTAGCATCCACATTTCAAAATATCTGAACCATTAAAATTATCCAACCGTTTAAGACATGAAACATAAGCTTCTTCTTTTTTCATAAAAAAATTGTTTTTAAATTAACAATTATTTTATTGTTACAAAATTAAATATATAAAACTAAAAAATCACTCCCTTTCCACCACCATAGGGGGAAGGGGCCAATAACTTCTTTGGCAAAAGGAGCTCAGATTAGGCTGCTCCAATCTTCCTTCCCATTATAGTGGGCCCTTCTTCTCCCTAAGTCAGAGCCATCAATTGATTGGTGGATTACGTCCCTTAACTAGAAGAAGATAGCTTTGGGGGTCGTTGTGGTTTAGCTGTATTTGGTGGGGCTTGTTGTGGTAAGAGCAACTCCAGCAAGGAGCTGAGCCCAAGGCTGGGGGGAGAAAAAAACAAAAACCTGTTTCTAGCAAGGAGCCCAGGGCTGGGTGCAAGGTGGGACCCAGCAACCTGGGCTGGCCTGAGGGCAAGGTTGGCCCGAGCTCCAGCCCTCGTTTTGGTGCTGACGTCATCGCTACAGTACCGCTAAAGTCCACGTGTCGCACTCTGGGCTCTCCGATCAGATTTTTTTTCTCCAATCCAACAACAACCAATTTTTGTGCAATAAAAAAATGAACAAAAATCAAATTTTTTTTTCTATAAATACCAAAATTTTATCCGATTGAGATATGAATTTTATAATAAATATTGACATGTACGAACCCAAAAATCTTATCCGAAAATATTATCCAAATGAATTGTTTAGGTAAACAAATTTGTGAAAAAAACAAAAAAATGAATAGTAATTGCCCTTTGCCAAAGCAATGGGTGGAAACACACAATACTATTTGCAAGGGCAACCACTATTCATGTGAATAATGGCTGCCCTAGCTCCCCCCTGCCATGGCAATGGGCAAATGGGTGGAGTTGTTTTAAGGGGGAAAGGAAAAGGGGAGTTGTTTTCCACACACCAAATCTCATCCCCATCGACTGGGACATCGGAAGAAACAAGTGTTTTGAGAGAAGTATGGTGGTTAGGGTGGCGTGGGAGTGGGTAGGGGTTGGGAGGGGGAGTCGGCTTTCTGGTTTTGTATTTTTTTTTTATAAATATTTTAGATTGAATTAAAGTTTTTTTGTTATTAGATTTTTCAAGATTTGCTAACGTGTGATATTTTAAACGATTAAATTATTAAAATGGTTCATATATTGCGAAATGCAGATAAATGCATGAACACTAATTACAAAGGCTCGTGATCTCACACTTTTTCATATTAAAAAATTTAAAATAACAAAAAAAAAAATCAAATAATGGATCCTATTTTTATGGAAAATAACTACCCATTATATTTTTTAATTCTAAAATAATTTTTTTTTTTTTTAAAAAAAAAATCTCACAGGCGTGGAAGCGTGTGCAAATAGGCTAGTTTTTCTTGAGCAAGGATCTATCTCGTGTCAGGTACTGCATGGTTCCACTCTGCAAGAACTCCGAATAATTCTCTTGAAGCCCATCCTCTTCATCATAAATGATCCGCTTGCCCCGAAATGACCTGACCCAATAGGGAAATCCCAATTCATTGGGCCTTTCAATACAATCAAATAGAAAGCCCCAAGGATGGGATCAACAATATTTACCATTAGATAAGGAAAAGTTAGTTTGTTATAACCAATATTGTATAAGTTGACGACAAAAAAGTTGTATCGCAATTGTAACATTAATATTGTATAAGTTTGCCTAATATTCTCTTTAATGAGTATTCTTGCCGACATCCTTTTTATATTTACTTATTTTCTAAGACTTAATTTGTTACATCAATATATTTTATATAAATTTATAAATAAATCCAATCTTAGACATGTATTTATAAAAAAACACAAACACTATTTAAACATAGAAACACACCCAAAATCAACAATTGTATATTTTTTTGGGGTGTATATAAATGGATTTTGAGTGTGTGTAATGATGGGTTTTGGGTGTGTTTATAAAATGTTTTGGGTGTTGGGTTTTTTTATAATTTCAGCCCTCATTTTGGGTGTTTTAGTGAAACTCCCTATATTTTATCTATTTTATCAACATGGAGATGAAAATCTCCCAGTAATTATCCAACACGTACGTATGAGATGAAAATTTATTTTTCTCCGTAAAGATAATTACGACCAAATGTTACATAAAAGCAGCGTTGCATGCTCATATTTGGTACTTTTCTGATAATTTTGATTTTTGAACTTGAGAAGAAACTGAAATAGCAAATACAGCCAAACAGAAATAGCAAACATTCTTTATCTTTAGTAAAGACATACTAAATTAAAGATGGCTCCATTTGTTATTTTCGCACATGATAATATTTCATGTGGAATTTCCTGACGTAGTCTTGGTTGTTGGTGCATGCGTTTGAGAGAGAGAGAGAGTCTAAAGGGGAGGAAAAGAAAATGAAAGGGCAGGCGCAAAGTAAGGGACAAGAAAGAAGGGTGAGCTGAGAGACGATCCCGGAAAGTTTGAATGGTTGAGAAATTGTGAAAGAGGTGTATAAAAGGGAAGGGTTGGGAAGGATGAAGATCGTAGAAGAAGACCCAAGTATCTTCTCCTTCGAATAAATATAAGGGACAGAAATAATAATTGCTTGAGGAAAGGGTTGAATAGTGGTGAAATAAGAGAGATGAGTTCCGTGATGCATATGCTGTTGCTCTGCCTCTCGGCTGGCGTAATATCGGTGGTCCGGGGTGAAGACCCTTACCTGTACTTCACATGGAATGTCACCTACGGAACCATCTCTCCCCTCGGAGTCCCCCAACAAGGAATTCTCATCAATGGCCAGTTTCCGGGACCCAACATCAACTCCACCAGCAACAATAACATCGTGCTCAACGTCTTCAATAACCTTGATGAACCACTCCTTTTCACATGGTACGTATATGTACTTACGCGTTCATTGATTTACATATTCCAATTTAATTAATAAAACTATTTGTATCACATTTATTTATTGATTACTTTGCTGACCACCTCTTCAATAAAAATTGAATTAATTCATGCAGGAGCGGTGTCCAGCAGAGGAAGAACTCATGGCAAGATGGAACCCTTGGAACTATGTGTCCCATCCCCCCTGGTCAGAACTACACCTACCGCTTCCAGGTCAAGGACCAGATTGGGAGCTACTTTTACTATCCCATCACTGCCATGCACAGAGCATCCGGTGGCTTCGGTGGCCTCCGCATCAACAGTCGTCTGCTGATCCCCGTTCCTTATGCTGATCCAGAGGATGACTATACTGTCCTCATTGGTGACTGGTACGCAAAAAGCCATACCGCTCTCAAGAAACACTTGGACAGCGGTCGCTCCATGGGAAGGCCTGACGGTGTCATCATCAACGGCAAATCAGCGAAGGGAGACGGCAAAGACGAGCCCCTCTTCACCATGAAGCCAGGCAAGACCTACAAGTACAGGATCTGCAACGTGGGGCTCAAGAACTCCCTCAACTTCAGGATCCAAGGCCACCCAATGAAGCTTGTTGAGATGGAGGGCTCCCACACCATGCAGAACACCTACGAGTCGCTTGATGTGCACTTGGGACAATGCTTCTCGGTGCTTGTGACTGCCGACAAAGACCCCATGGACTACTACATGGTGGCCTCCACCCGATTCACCAAGAAGGTGTTGACCGGCAAAGGCATCATGCGCTACGAAAATGGTAATGGCCCAGCGTCCCCCGAGCTCCCCGAGGCTCCTGTAGGATGGGCCTGGTCTCTCAACCAGTTCCGTTCTTTCCGCTGGAACCTCACTGCCAGTGCTGCCAGGCCTAACCCTCAGGGCTCTTACCACTACGGCAAGATCAACATCACCCGCACCATGAAGATCGTCAACTCCGCCACCAAGGTCGATGGCAAGCTCCGCTATGCTATCAACGGAGTCTCCCACGTGGACCCCGAAACCCCACTCAAGCTGGCTGAGTACTATGGAGTTGCCGACAAGGTCTTCAAGTACGACACCATCCAGGATGAGCCCCCCGCCACAGTTGAAGACAAGGTCACCTTGGCACCCAACGTTGTCAACCAGACCTTCCGTAACTTCGTGGAGATCATCTTTGAGAACCACGAGAAGAGCATTCAGTCGTGGAATTTGGATGGATACTCCTTCTTTACGGTCGCGTAAGTAATTTAGATATGGGATTTTTTTTTTTTAAATTATTATTATTAGTTCAATAACTAATGAATGACTATTTGCACCGCATGCATGCAGCATTGAGCCCGGGAGGTGGACCCCAGAAAAGAGAAACAACTACAACCTTTTGGACGGTGTGAGCAGACATACCATCCAGGTGTTCCCCAAATCCTGGGCTGCCATCATGTTGACCTTCGACAATGCTGGAATGTGGAATGTGAGGTCAGAACAATCCGAGAGGCGCTACCTTGGACAACAGTTCTATGTGAGTGTTCTCTCTCCAGCACGCTCCCTCAGGGACGAGTACAACCTGCCAGACAACACCCTCGTCTGCGGCGTTGTCAAGGATTTGCCTAAGCCCCCTCCATACAGCGCCGGCGCCTAAACTCTGATCTCATAATCTACGTACTATGTATAAATAGGAGTTCGTACTAGTGTACTGTACAACAAAGAGGAATGGTCTGGCTGATGATCATGCATGTGTATCAACCCTTTCCAAAATGCAATAAATTTTCAATTCTAATATATTTACACATATTTATTCTTAATCAAATAATAAACAAATATAAAATTAAAGAACCAAAGAGTATGTAATATTCCCTTTTCATATATTGTCATGCATTACATATCAAATTAAAAATAAGATCCACTACTCAAATGTACCGAAATTGTTAGGTGAACATGAAAAACCTATATATATATAGCCATATGTATATGGTTACTACAAGTACACACTCACGATGGATTTCACTCATTGGTCTTTCTTCTCTGTGTATGTGTATGTGTATGTGTTATCGTGTGTCTACGTCTGAGTGAGTGCACCAAAGTAAAGACTTACCTGTTAGACTCCATGAGAGCTAGCGTTTTTTTTTCATCAGTCCAGTGCAGTGCAGTACGTACTAACGCCTTTTCTTTGAAAAAGTAGTTTGGTAGGGGTCTATCTTTCTTTTTAATTTTTTTTTAAATTTTGGTCGCTCTGAGAGACAGATCACTTTGAGTTTGAGGTCCGGGGTCTATCTCAAAACATTCCCCTTCCTAGGGAAATTTGAAGGTTTTTTTTTGGCTGAAGGGAAATTTGAAGTTTAAACCCACATTTTCATTCCTAACTGTTAAATGAGAGATTGGTCAGCGGTCCACTACTAACAACACCGATATTGTCCTCAACTTAACCACCTACAAAGCCAAGTAAGTGTGAGGTTTTATCACAAAAGGCCTAGGTAATATTAGTAGTGGAATCATTCATTATATATTGTATTTTATTTAGTCAAGTTTCCGATGTGAGACTTATATTCTTCAACATGCTCCCCACGTGGGACCACTACATAGTGAGCTACACATGGAGCCAAGTCCACATTGGAGTCAATCATTCAAGCCCAACACGTGAACACCACATATTGGGTAAGGAGTATGGGTAAACATTCAAGCCCAACATGTGAACACCACATATTGGGTAAGGGTAAAGGCCCAATTCAAGCTCAATCAATCAACCCGCTTTGATACCATGTTAAATTCAGAGAGATGGGCCAGCGGTCCACTACTAACAACACCGATATTATCCTCAACTTAACCACCTACAAAGCCAAGTAAGTGTGAGGTTTTATCACAAAAGGCCTAGATAATATTAGTAGTGGAACCATTCATTATATATTGTATTTTATTTAGTCAAGTTTCCGATGTGAGACTTATATTCTTCAACACTAACAAACAGCTAGATCAACATATCAGTCCTATCAGAGAAGATGGTGTGGTGTCCATGCATGCGCAGATGAACCCAATTTTGTTTGTGATGCTTACTTACACTCACCCAGATAGACGGTGACGAATCTTTACATCTTAAGTGATTTAGGACCACCTCTCTCTCTCTCTCTCTCTCTCTCCCGACGATAGTAATGATCGATATTGTCCTTGATGTTCTTGTAGTATGGCAACCACTACTAATGTAAACGGCCTCCTCTGACCCTCCGCAAATACCAAACAGATGATCAAGTTTTTGTTGATTTTGTTGATTCATGATATTATTGCTAAAAAGTTTTGTGTATGGAGCTACAGTGTAGAAACTCAAGAATAATACTTTAGGAATGATTATGCAAGCGAGCGAGCGTCAACTAATCGAAAACCACTAAGAAGTATAATCAAATAAAAAGACAAACTGCTTGCTTCTATTGGGATCTCTGAGACTTTGCACCTCCATATTTGGGACTCTCCTCCTGCTGCGGTGAGACAATTAATGTTTAATAATTTGTGTAGGGTTTCTACCCTTAGATCTGTTTGCTGTTTAGTGTTTGTGTTGGGCCTTAGCCCTCCTTGTTACCAAAAAATAAATAAAAAATAAAAAGACAAATGCCATTTGTGCTCCTTACAAATGAATTAGATTGGATGAAGGGACTGCATTATAGATTGAGAACAAATAAAGTGTCCCTTATTTAAGGAAATAATGTGCATATTTAAGTGGATAAGAGCATTTATCATTGCGTCCGTTATCTATGTTTAGTTCCCCCTCCCCAATTGCTTATATCAAATGTGAGGTTCATTTACCTAAGTAGATAACCTATGTGAATGAACGGAAAGTAACCTCATCAAGAAGTTATATGTAGAATTTGCGTGATTAACCCAAGACTTGGCAAAATTATTCAATCACTGTAATGAACTTGGACTGTATTGAGTGTCCTGAGCACTTAATCTTTCATGTATATGTTGTACGTGATTTTGTCAGATCTAACTCAAACTACAAGAAAAGCATAATTTTGTCTCGATGTGTAAGCATGTTCGTTTTAATTTATTTTAGTCAAAATCAGATTCCATTAAAAGCCAAAAAGGCAAGCAAACAACACACATGTCAATGGCACGATAGAACTACAAAGTTGGCAAACCCAGCATAAAAACAAAAATAACAAACAATTAGCCCAACAAAACAACACACATGTTCCACAGGCGCACCTCGAATACAATCAAAGCCCAAAATCAGGCATAAAGCTCAGTTCACACCCCCGTGCCCAAAAATGAGGGGAGACACCGCCGCCACACAAAACAACACAGCTGCATACAAAAGACTCACAGATCTGCCGCCAGGACCAAAATTCCCCCAAACACTGAACCACGCCAACATAAGGACATCCACCCAAGCATCAGCTTCAACAAACCAGAACAGAGAACCCAACAACCAATCATAGCAAGATTAGGGAAATCACAACCTGAAGCCCCAAAGGACCAACACCAAGAGAGTGGAAGGAGGTTATGCAAGCAAAAGAGCAAGAGCTCTACACACCTTCCAATAGGGAACGTGAGAAATCGCCTTTAGGATTAGCAGAGAGAGTAAACATGAGGATCCCTTCAAGGAGAAGCGGCTTTTAGGTCAAATGTTTCATTTTACTTGGGAAACATGGGAATCGACATTTTAAGTTTTCAAGAAATGAAGGGGAAAATGTAGCTATGACAGGTCATACTCAACGATGAAATTCAGGCTCCAACTCCCATCCATTTTGTGGTGTATAAAAAGTTGCAATCAATTATATTTTTCGCAAGATGATACTGATGGAAGAAATGAGAGAACTATTACCCAGTGTCTATAAATTCAATTAACCTTCTTGATGTCAACTTGACTCCGGGTTATCCACGTAACGACAAGATTGAAGGCTATGATCAGAAGACGTAAAGGTACCAGGGCCGGAGAAAATTTACCCGCAAATGACAAAAAAGGAAAAGAAAAATACAAACATACGTAGCAGTATGGACTTGCAGGATAGCACTAGCAGTGTGAATATGATATTACAAGAATGGCTAACACTTGCTGCTCAAGCTAAACAATTTTCAAGTAACAGCTGCCATCACTCGCTGCAAAAGCTAATCATCTCTACAATCTGCCAGCAGCAGTGAGTAGCATATCTCTCAAAACCAAGTTTTTTCCCTCATCATGATTTAGCTTCAAGGCTAACATCACCAACCCCAAGGTTACACTTAAGACAATTGAAAACCTGCATCACAAGCTATGAAACTAGAAATAAAGTAGATACATTTGTGCTACTGAACAAAACAAAGCACAGCTGGAATGGTCATTATTAAGTTGGAAGGTTGATACACTATCAAACTCAAGTTACAACAAGTATCTGGTCTGTTTTTTTTCTGTTATTGCCTGTTTAAATTAAGCATGGCAATCCTCTCCGAATTCTAAGTTGAGCAATCAGAAAACGGATTATTTCAGACTTGAATGAGAGAATAGAGGTAGAGAAGAAAATAACAGAACACAACTGTGAGGAGAATCCCACCCCTAATCAAACACCTACTTGTACCTCTAACGCAATCTTGATATACTGGTATTATTTGTTTAATCACCAAACCCCAGGGAACCATTTACCTCTGGGGGGAATCCACAGTCCGAACATTTGCACCTGTCATTCCTTCAATTCGGTCTTTGGTTATCTCCACAAAGTGACCTACTATTTCATGGAACTGCTTGAGCCCTGACAGCGGGAGAATTATGGAGGAGCGATCAGAACCTGCAACCTGCAATTTTAACGGAATTCTAAAGATATTAAGACTTCATTTACTGTCAGAAACCTTAAATTAAAAGTAAAATGAACAAGAAAATCCGCCTAGGGTCTCAATGAAATAATTTTTTTTTTATTTTTTGAAGCATACCTCTGATATTCTTAGGAAATGGCCCCTGTTATTACTCCCAAGATCAAAGAAGAACCTTTTTTGATCAGCTCTGATCACTTTAGATACCCCCATGTTACCAATTTCATCCTGTGCAGGCAACTCTGCAGATCTGTCAACATTCAGTTCAGAAGTTGGAGCAGTTTGACTACTGTGGCCAGATATGAAGCCAGCGCCTACATCATCTGAAAGCCCAACAAGACGCTCTGAGGTTTCAGAACTTTGCTGCTTTGGCATGGAAACAACCAGGTGGAAATTAACAGGACGTGTGAGATACTAGAGAAAATTATATTACCCAGAAATAGAAAGTTTATGCATGAAAAACAAGAACACCTGATTGGGCAGTATAAAAAGTCTAGATGCTTCATTGATCTCTGCCAAAATGTTTCTAAATGCTGCCCACCCTTCATCCCGGGCGCTTCCTGCAGGAACAATGATAGTACTGCGATTTCTACTAACAGAAGCTTCGGATACCTGCACCAAAAAAATTTATTAGAGCAGAAAAAATTGGAGAACAAAAACTGCAGTCTAGCCCTGGAATTGTCTTCTCCTCAGACTGGTTAGAATTCATGCAAAGACAATAATAAACAATCCATGCAATAAAGATAGCTTCATAACGTCATAGCTCGATGGATAAAAGTTACCCTAAGCCATAAAAGGTCCATCTTCTCCAAGAGCTCACTTCAATGGAAAGGTTTGACACCTCAATGTTGGCTCTTTGCCATATTTCAAGTTCCTACAACTAAAAAGTCAGGGCAGGGAACCAAAACCAGAGTTACATGCCCTGATTATGGAGTTAAACCTAGAACCATTATTATTTAATAATTACGGTATACTGACGCCTAAGAATAGGCGCCCGAGAGTGCCTAAACATTGAG